TCAAATGTACTATACCATTTGTTCACTTATTTTTTGTCTTCCACAAACTAGAATGTAAGCTCTATGAGGCAAGAATATATATGTTTTTCTGTTTTGTTCATTGTTGCATCCCCAGTGCCTAATATATGCTGGTCGTAAGCACTAAAATATACTTGTTGGAAAGGACATAAACCCAAAATATTGATTTTTTTCATCCGCAGCAACGTTAGTACCCAGGTCAATACATGAGGATTTTAATGAAAAGCGAAAAAGAATAATAGTAAACTTTGTATCTTCTTGAATAGAAAACTGTCGGGGACTAGAGGTCTAGGGGTCTACCTGTGCACATTTTGCTCTTGCTTTCAGTATTTCTCGACCTAATTCTAGACTTTACTTGGTTTCAGAGTATCTTCCCCCAAGGTACTCACTACCTACAAAGGGTAAAATTACCATTTTTATGGTGGGGAGTCTTGGCAGACACCACCTAAGGAAACTTATCAAAGTTAACGTTTCCAGTGATGGGATGAGTCGACAGAATATACCTCCCGAGATGACATAGTGAAGAGGACTCAGTATCCCTTCTGTAACATTCCTGTTGACAATACATAACCTGATTCTTATTGTAAGGAAATATCAGCAAACTCAAACTGAGGGATAGTCTGCGAAATAAGGGATCTGCATTCTTAAAAACCATCAATGTCGTGAAATAGAGACAGACTCGGGAACTGCTCTAAATTAAAGACTAAAGACACCTGACCGTAGAATGTAGTGAATGGACTTGGACTTTCATTTGTTCTAAAGTACGTTATTCGGATAACAGGTGAAATATGAATACAGTCTGTGAGTAGATGACAGTATTGTATTAATGTTAATTTCTTAATTTTAATAGTTGTGCTCTGGTTAGGTAAGAGAATTTGTTTTTAGGATATACACACTGAAGTGTCTCCAGGGCAAAAGACACTTGTTCACAATGATTAAAATGTGTGCATTTATGTGTATTTTATTTGCATGTATATGTGTACACATACATACACATCTGGAGAGAGAGAGAGGAGAGTAGCATACAGCAAA